CTGTATATCCACAATTAATAATTGTAGTCATGGTTACTTTGCATATAGCTTTGTTTCCTTTTGAATCAATATAGACTTATACTTCCAAGAGTAATAAATCCCTGAAATTTACATAGAGGTGCGTGTGCACACACACATACACCCACACGTACACATTCTTATTCCTTATTGTTAACAGAAATAAAAAAAAAATTATGTTCTTAGGTAAAGGCAATTAAAAAGAACCCCCAATTATCACCTTGAGTAAAGGTAAACGTTGGTAAAAAGCAAAAAGGGTAATTCCTTTCCTTTTATTGATAGTATATTAAACAAGCTTGTTTCTAATGTTCCCCATGTTTAAACTACCCTGAGAAATCCTTAGAGTTGTTGTATAACAGATGTAAGTTTTTGAGATTTCGAAGCGTTAAGTCTGGCTCTGCTAAAATGGTTTTTTGACTTTACCTTAGTCTTTCTCTGTCCCTCCTACCTCTGCCTTTTTGTTTTGTTTCATTTTCTATTATTATGAATACAAATGTCCCACTTTACTCTCAGTTCTGATTAATATTATCCAACCTCTGTTAGAATCTACTTTGCTTTTTGTTGCTTATAGACAGAGTTAGCTGTTGTGTAGACTGAAATACCTAATTAGAAAAGCACAAGATTTTTTTGGTTATATTTTCTAAACTATAGATGTATAAACTATTGGGCTGTTTTTATTGCAAACTTTACATGTGAAAAAAAATTTTTTTTGTAATGGCACTGGTTTTATTTTTGGTGATAATATAGTCTGGAACATGTGGCCTAGCAAAGGTTATAAATCAAGGAAGAAAAATTATGGTTGGCATCAATTTTTATAGTCTTTGCAATCTAACAGAGCACAAATCCCAAATTGTTTAAATACTAAATATTTACTTAAAGAAAAATGAGACCATTCAAAAATAGAATAAATTATGAATTTTCCTGTTAAAAGCTCATGGGTTTTTGTATATTCTTTATAAAATTAACAAAATCGACATTATACTATCCATATCACAATATTTTTGTGTCGCATTTTAAAGTAAAACACACAGCATACACACATTTGGAATGAGGCCAAATTTAGACTCCAGGGGCATAGTGTTCTGTACCTTAAATTACGATCAGATGTATTTTAGCACAGATCAAATTTTCAGTCTGAAGTTGGTGAGAAGCCTAATTATTTAACCAGGTTACTATTTATGTAGACCATTCTATGGCTGTCTGTGGTTAATCCACAGCTGGCAGAATGCTAGCTCTGGGAGGTTTTTATTTCATGCTGGAGCAGTTTGGGGAGAAATGGGGTGGGGGGTGGCTTTAAACTCTTCTCATTAAATGAAAGACTAAAAAGCAAGTACAGTACATACATATTACTATGGAGACAAGATGCTGTATAAACTGTTCGTTTTAATTTTCCAAGTGACAGAAATAGCAAAGGAAGCAGCTTGGATGCTCATAGTTTGCAAGTTACATGGTATTTGGTTAAAAAAGAAAGATGAAAACATTTAAAAAATAATAATAACTAAGACTCAGACTTGTTGCCTTTTAGAACCGTTGGATATTAGTAAAGAATTAATGGATTGGAATTTTTAAATGATGGGCAGATATTATGCTAGAAAAACATTATCTTTATTAGAATTTTATTAGCAATACTTTAAAGTGATAAGAGACAATTGTAGGAGAGAAAAAGTAACATCTTTTCCTCACCCTCGCAAGGGTCATGGCTGATACTCCTATAGCAAAAGAGATTAACAAGAGAAAAGCATAATAAATTTAATAAAGTTTTACCTGACACAGGAGTCTTCAGAAATGAAGTCCCAAAGACTCAGTGAAAACTGTGCATTTTTATGTTAAGTCTGATTAAAGAAGTGGATAGTTATGGAGAAATATGATTGGATAAATGTTATCTAATGATAATAAACTGGGGAGGGGAAGGTGGGATTGGAACCTAACAAGTCTTGCCTGTTCAGATTGTTCTTGGTCTCCAGGTATAGATCAGGACCCCTTTAGAATAAGGTTTTTATCACTTATTTTCTGGTGAGGTAGATTGGAGAATTCCTTTATGGCCAGCTCTCACACAGAAAGGCAGGGGAAGGTCACAGTGACCTTGCTTGTGCAGTTTTCTCAGTTGCCAGCATGCCATATTTTGGGGTATCATGTTCTGAGCCCTGACACAATTATAGTATAAAATTCTTTCTTAATATCTCAGAATATAAGTTAGGTAGTAAATCCTCCCTTCAAAGATGGATCCCAATATACATTACCCCTGCCACAAAATTAATTCTTTTAGTATTCTTACAGTATTTTATTTGAAATTTGAAAATAATGGAAAAAGATCTTTTCTTCTTTTTAAACTTTTTAAAGTTTGCATGATGGAAGTGGTTAGTCCCTCTTGTAAATGAATATTTCAATAACCTTTTTATAACTTTTTAAACAATTTTCTTTTATATTTTGAAGGTTATTTCTTCCGTTTATAAGCTAGCTCTTCTCCCCTTCAAGTTTCCAGTGTCCACATTTCCTCTGGTTTTTTTACTCTAATTATCCTCCCTTCCTTGCTTCTTTCATTTCTCCATAAATCCTTTTCTTTGAAAAGCAAAAATGATCAAACTTTCCCTGTTGTTAGAAACAAGCTTTTCCCCAGTGCAGTGGCACGTGACTGTAATGCTAGCTGCTCAGAGGCAGGAGGATCTCTTGAGCTCAGGAGTTCAAGTCCAGCCTGGGCAACATAGCAAGACAAGACCCCATTTCTAAAAAAAATTTAAAAACTTAAAAAAAAACCAACCCTCTCATTCCCTCCTTTTTCTCCACCAAAGAAAGCCTCTCTGCCCTTTTCTTCTCTATTATCTACTCAAACTAGAGGCATAGTATGTGGAATAATTTGAATCCAGGCTCCTTTGCATGTAAGCTGTGTGACCTGGGGGGCATTTCTTAACTTCTCTAACTTGCTATCTTTATTTATAAAATAGGACTAATAAGGGTATCTACATCATAGGTTTGATATAAGAAAGAAACAATAATAACTGACTTACTATGCATAAAGCTTCTAGTATAGTGCCTGGCATGCAAAAATTGCTCAGTAAAGTTCAGATGATTTTATTATCATCACTGATAAAGCTCCCCAAATAATTTATAATCCTTATCTTTACTTTCTCACCATTCTTTTTTTTATTTTTTTGTTTTTGTTTTTCACCATTCCTTAACAACCGTTTTTATCTTCATACCGAGTGCTTTCTCCTAATCATCAAATCCTGTACCTTTGCTCAGTTCATTTTTTCTCTACCTCTTAAGAGCATTGAGCACCTTTAAGTACCTTCTTGAAATCTTCCTTGCTGGATTTTTCCAACATCACTTCTACTTTCCTCACTTGCCTTCCTATTTGTTCTTCCCTCCGTCCTCTTATTTTTGTTATTCTCCATTCTGTCCTTTGTCCTCTTTTTGTTCTGCATTCTCTTCCTTGGTAATTACAACTCCTCTAACCATCACATTCCTCCATGGCCTTTCTCCTGAGCCCAACTTTTTGGTAGATATTTGGAGATCCTTTAGCACCTCAACTGTAGTATGACCACAACTATAAACACTCTTTCTTTACCATCTAAGCCAAATCTTATTCAGGATTTTTCTATTTCTATTAAGAGTAGGCCCAGATTTAAAATCTCTATCATCTTTTGACTCTCTTCTCCTTTACCTGTCACATCTTAGGCAATTGCCAAGTCCTGTATCTAGTGTTCCCAGTATGATTTTCTTTTACACAGCCAAATACAGACTTTTATTAACTGTTGCTGAATTGTTGCTGTCCAGATTAACTTTCCTTTAAATTTTCCTACAAATGTTTTATTCTTTTCTTTCCAGAAAAACTTCATTACCCTAATCCATCCCTACCCCACTCCCACATTGCCTACCAAGCAGACTCCACCCCTGTTACTCAAGGCCCTTTGTGTTCTATCTCAGCTGGCCTTTCCATGATCATCATCTATTATTGCCCTTTGTATATTCCTTTTCTCACTTGTGCATCATCCAAACTAATTTTCTATATGTGCATCCATATTTTGCTTATACTTTCATCTAGAAAGCGTAAGTATATTTAATGAGACCTTGATTAATACTAAAGATGTAGATAACTAGCATTTTAAAATATAGGTTTCCTGACATGAAATTTTAATTAAAATAATTTTCTGGCCGGGCGCGGTGGCTCACGCCTGTAATCCTAGCTCTCTGGGAGGCCGAGGCGGGCGGATTGCTTGAGCTCAGGAGTTTGAAACCAGCCTGAGCAAGAGCGAGACCCCGTCTCTACTAAAAATAGAAAGAAATTAATTGGACAACTAAAAATACATAGAAAAAAAAATTAGCGGGGCATGGTGGTGCATGCCTGTAGTCCCAGCTACGCGGGAGGCTGAGGCAGAAGGCTGTGAGCTAGAATGACGCCACGGCACTCTAGCCCAGGCAACACAGTGAGACTCTGTCTCAAAAAAATAAATAAATAAATAATTTTCTATTACATTACTGAACTATTTTCTCATTATTTGAAAATTGTAATTCAGAATCTTCCTCAAAATCCAGTTTAGATGTTTGTTAAGGTAACAAGCTATGATCTTAATAAACAGATTGCGTTTAAGTCACTTATAAATACCTAAACTGTTTATAAAAAGCTAGAAGAATTCAATCTGCCTTGATAGTGCAATTTCCCTAATTTAAATGTAATTATTGTCCTGAATGAGACCTTTCAAATATTTTTTGTTTCATACATTCCCAGAATTCTTCCAGTATTGAGCATGTAAATCTAATATGAAATATAATAAGTAATGTTTTATTCTCTGAAGTAATAGCATTATCAAGCATATAGTTGATGTGATACAATTTCTCCTAGTCAAGTGCTATTGTTTTCTGCCTTGCATTTTATAATCATATTTTATATATGCTTTGTATTTTGTATAGGTTTCTTTTATTCTCACTGAAGTGACTCTGTGGAGATGGCATTTCTAATTTTTCCTTCTTTTACCTTTATCCAGGGCTTTTTTCTTACCGTTTCCCCAGAGTCAATATTAAAAGTGGCTCGCTATGCTTCTGAAAACAACAGGATTTTCACTTTGAATCTGTCTGCACCATTTATTAGCCAATTCTACAAGGAACCATTGATGAAAGTTATGCCTTATGTTGACATACTTTTTGGAAATGAGACGGTAAGGTACTCTTTCTTTAAAAAAAAAAAGAAACTTTCTTTTTGTTTCTGATCTGTGTATATGTTTAGAAACATATAAATAAAAACCTAAATTTTGCATAGATATCCTTGAGAATTGCATAACAAAATTGCCTCAATGTAGACTGCTGTAACTCAGTATTTTCAGTATTTCTTTAGTATATAGTAAATTATTACTTAGTAAAACATTTATGTTTTAAAGTTTAGGCATTTGAGGTCTAATTTACACATAGTAAAATTCACCCTTTTTACTGTGCATTTCTCAGTTTCTGCAGATGCATATCTGACCTGTTACTATGACCACGATCGAGATAAAAAACACTTTCATCACTTTTTTAGTCTCTTTAAAGTCTGAGTTTATTTAATTTTCATTTGATAAATAATGAATAAATGTTGAAATATTATAATTTATATTAAATTTCTTTATTAATAGTATCATTTTTGCTAATATTTGCATGTTGATGGTGATAAAATGGAATTTCATTTGAACATATTACAGCTTTTTATTTTTACCAAGAATGTGTTTTCTTCCATTCTGAATTATGGAAAATGATTTTTTTGCTTATTTAGTATTTATTATTTATGTTTAACATGTAGGCTTTAAAAATTCATGAATTAAAAAAAGAGATCTTTAGTGCATCTTTATGACTTGGCCACGTCACCTAACTCTTGTTAGCCTTGGAGGTTCTATGTATAAAATGAAGGTGTTGTATTAATCATCCCAGAGATTCATTCTGCTTCTGAATCCACAGTTGTAACATAGTTAGAATATATTCATCAGTTTTATATCTAAATAAGATAACTGTACTATCTGCCTAGAATAACATAAAAATTGACTTGGAAATAATTTATGAGATCACCTGGGTGAAGATTAAAGGACTGACTTGTAGAAGTAATATCATGGTGTGAGTATCTACAAAGGTGATAACCACTAGAAGGAAATGCTATATTCTTGACAATTCACAAACTGACATATTGGCAAGAAATAGTGATGAAAGCCTTTAATTGCTAAATAGCTACTGGAAGTCTCATTTAACTAAAATCTGTGTTTTAGATTTTCCTTATTAACAATTTTATTTTCTAAAGAGTAAAGGAAATAACTAGGAAAAGTGCTACAAAGCCCTTTGAATAACATGAAAGAATTGGTCATCAGTATAGCTGAATTGGTCTCAGCAGTCTGAGAATCATTGGGAGAAATTGACACTTAGTCTGAGTTCTTTATAGTTAAGAAAGATCAGACTGGCAACATTTAAATGTGTGCTCTAGACTTTAAGAAGACAAATTTTAAAACTTTTAAAAAAGATAAATATGATTCCAAGGAATGAGACTTTGGAAATAAGGACAACTTAAAGAGGATTAAATACCATCAAAAATGCAATTCGAACTTTATAGTCATAAATGACCTCAATTAGGAAGAGAATGGAGAGGGGTCTTAAAAATTGCAGAGCACACAGAAAACTGTTTAATTAGGGCTCGCATTTGTAAAACACATGTAAACACACGTAAAAAAAAAGATATAAAGCATATTTAGAACCAGGGAATGATACTAAAAATTTGGCAGAGACTTAGAATTGAAGAGACCCTAGATAATTTAGGTTTGCAGAAGATGCTGATAACATCAAAATGGTCTTTACTTAACAACAACAACAAAAAGACTGCAAGGTGTAAGGACCAAATGAAAAAATAGATAAATTGGACATCATGTAAATTAAGAACTTTTACACATCAGAGGAAGCTATCACAAATGTAAAAAGACAACCTATAGAATGGGAAATAATATTTGCAAATCATATATCTGACAAGGGATTGGTATCCAGAATATATAACTCAGTGACAACAACAAGAAAACCTACAACCCAATTCAGTAATAGTGAAAGGAATTAAATAAACGTTTGTCCAAAGAAGATATCCAAATTGCCGATAAACACAGGAAAACGTGTTCAACATACCTGATCAGTAGAGAAATGCAAATCAAAACCAAGATTAGGTACCCCTTCGTGCCAACTAGAATGGCAATTATCAAAAAAAATGGAAAATAAGTGTGGTGAGGATATGGAAAAATTGGAACACTTGTGTATTGCTGATGGGAATATAAAATGATGCAGCTGCTGTGGAAGATAATTTGGTGGCTCTTCAAGAAGTTAAACATAGAATTATTACTATATGATCCAGCAATTCCACTTCTAGGTATATACCCAAAATAACTGAGAGCAGGGACTCAGATACTTGGACACCAATGTTCATAGCAGCACTATTCACAATAGCCAAAGGTAGAAAATGAACCAAATGTCCATCAACAGTTGAATGTATTTCAAAAATACATACAATGGAATATTACTCAGCCTTAAAGAAATGAAATTTTGATACATGCTGCAACATAAATGAATCTTGAAAGCATTGTGTTAAATAAGCCAGATACATCAGACAACTATTGGATTTTCCTGTAAGAATTTCACTTATATGAGGTACCTAGAATAGGCAAATTTACAGAGACAGACAGTAGAATAGTGGTTATCAGGTGGTGGAGGTGGGGGGGGAGTGGGGCATTATTGTTTAATAGGTACACAGCTTCTGTTTAGGATGATGAAAAAGTTCTGGAAATTGAGAGTGGTTACCGTTGTACCATATTGTGAATGTACTTAGTGCCATTGGATTGAATACTTAAAATGGTTAAAGTGGTAAATTTTCTTATGTAGTTTACCATAATTTTAAAAAAAGATTAATTCTACAAATCAATAAACTAAAGTTTGATTAGAGCTTTTTATACATTATTAAAGGAATTATTTTTCTCCACCTAGAAGTGGAAATTATAAAACTATAAGCTGCTACATGACTACAGTTCATGTCAGGAAAACTTTTTTCTCTTTTATTGTGATTATTGTTCATTTGAATTTATTTCAATAAATATTTATGTGCTACCTATTATGGCAGACCAATAAACAGTAGATAACATAGTATATTTGAAAAGATCTGTCATGATATGGATTATAGAATAATAAAGATTGGCTATAGGGCAATTAGATGTATTTGATATTCTATTGAACCAATCTCAAAAAGATCTGCTAACAAATAAATGGATTTCTAGTGGTATGCGTCAGTGATTATTCTGAGCTTTGATCAAGTAGACTACCAATGATTCAGATAAAGTTATATCTGCATATAATGCAAATGCAAGTAATACAACACTTTAATAAATATCAAGTAAGTTGAATGTCACAATCAGATTTTTTTTATTTGTGCATATTATGGGGGTACAAATGATTAGGTTACATTGCTCTTGCCCCGCCCCCCAAGTCAGAGCTTCAAGCGTGTCCATCCCCCACATGGTGTGCATCGCACTCATTATGTTTGTATATACCCATCCCCTCCTCTCCCCTCCCATTTGCCCGATGCCCGATAAATGTTATTCCTATATATGCACTTAGGTGTTGCAGAATCAGATTTTTAAGTGTTAATAGACTGCAAATATTAGTTGACTGATAAAATTTAATAGAGATAATAATGATACCATATTTGATTATAAAAAGCAAGTAGAGTAATATGTTTTATCTCTTTAGTCTTGTCACCCATTGTTCCTCTTGAATACTATAATAATAATAAATTATCTTCAGTTCTCCTGGAAAAAGAGGGGCATTTCAGTTCTAAAATGCAATGAAGTATAAAATGTATTTCTCAGGGAATATATATAGGATTGTTTTACCTTTCCTTTCCCCCACCAAAAAAAATAAAATTTACTTTGTTTAGTATAAATTTTCAAAACGTCAACACTTAGCTAAAACCAGACACACTTCACCCTTATTTTCTACCTGATGTCACCTTCTCTTTCTCAAAGGATTGTATACTAGTAGTGATGATTTAAAACTTTCCTAATAGCCTCACTATTTAAAAAAAACACCTTATCCATCAAGACTATTTCTTCACAGGCAGTGATCAGTGATCCCTGTGAGACAAGAAATAAATGAGATAAACCCAACAATTGCTCCAGCTAACTACTTGGAGATGATTTCTAGGGCACAGCACAGTAGGGTAACCCAGGTAGAGCCTGGCAGTCTCATTGAATGAGGAGATGGAGCTGGAAGTTCAAGAGTCTAAGACAGCTAATGTTTGCAAGTTAAAAGTACCAGAGAAAAGAGAGCTGTGTACAGAGAGAACATAGGATGTTTGCAGAGAGTCCCACCAAGTCTTCAGCTGAGTACAAATCAGCATATATTTGTAAGGACACTAATAAAGACTGAGAGAAAAACCAAAGAACAGAGAGAAAAATCCTCAGAGTGCACGTGGGGGCCTATAACCATTCCTGTTCTACTAGCCAGAGTGGATAACCTCATAATTCATGGGACTTCAAATAGAGTATTCAGAATGGTTTTGCCCTGTTCGTGGGGCAAAATTAGCTCTAAACTAGAAGCTGTTCTGGTCCCTCCTATTAATATTATTCCAATATATTTGACCACCTTTATAAAATGGAAAAATTCCTTCAGAGACACAAAGTACTAAAGCATACTAAAGAAATAGAAAAAGCATATTTAGGTTATATATTGTAGTTAAAACCTTTGCTGCAAAGAAAACTCAAGGGCTAGATTGCTTCAGTGTTGAATTCTACCACACATTTAAGAAAGACATAATACCAGTTCTAAATAAACTGTCTCAGAAAATTAAAGAGGGAGAAGCACTAGCCAACTTATTCCATGTGGTCAGCATTACCTTGATACTAAAACCAAACAAAGTATTACAGGAAAAGAAAACTGCAGTATCCCTCATAAACATAGATGTAAAAATTCTTAAAATAATTTTAACACGTCAAACCCAACATATATGAAAAGGATAATTCATCGTGACCAGGAGTGCAGAATTGGCTTAACGTTTAAAAATCTATCAATATAATTCATTATACTAAAATGAAAAAAATATATGATCATCTTAATAGACATAGAAAAGCATTTGACAACACTCATTGCTGATAAAAGCCCTCAGAATACTAGGAGT